TTACAGAGATCCAGCAGCAGACAAGAGGATCCCAAGAATCAAGTCAAAGATTTGAAATACAAAGAAACAAAAAATACCCAACCGAAAAAGAAAAAAGAAAAGAGATTCCAAAAATATGAAGATAGTGTAAGGAACCTCTGGGACAACTTCAAGCGTACCAACATCAGAATTATAGGGGTACCAGAAGGAGAGAGAGGGCAAGATATTGAAAACCTTTTTGAAGAAATAATGACAGAAAACTTCCCCTACCTGGTGAAAGAAATGGACTTACAAGTCCAGGAAGCGCAGAGAACCCCAAACAAAAGGAATCCAAGGAGGACCACACCAAGACACATCATAATTAAAATGCCAAGAGCAAAAGATAAAGAGAGAATCTTAAAAGCAGCAAGAGAAAAACAGTCAGTTACCTACAAGGGAGTACCCATACGACTGTCAGCTGATTTCTCAACAGAAACCATGCAGGCCAGAAGAGACTGGCAAGAAATATTCAAAGTGATGAATAGCAAGTACCTGCAACCAAGATTACTTTATCCAGCAAAGCTATCATTCAGAATAGAAGGTCAGATAAAGAGCTTCACGGATAAGAAAAAGCTAAAGGAGTTCATCACCACCAAACCAGCATTATATGAAATGCTGAAAGGTATTCTTTAAGAAGAGGAAGAAGAAAAAGGAACTCTTACCATTTGCCACAGCATGGATGGAACTTGAGAGCGGATAAATACCACAGGATCTCACTCATTTGTGGAATATAATGAACAACATAAGCTGATGAACAAGGACTGATCCAGAGACGGAGAGGCATTGATTGGACTGTCGGGACTTGGAGGGAAGGTAGGGGAGGGTGGGGGTAAGGGGGAAAGATCAACCAAAGGACTTATATGCAAGCATATAGGCCTAACCAATGGACATGGACAACGGGGGGGTGAGGGCATGAGCGGGGGGGGGGGGGGGTAGAGGGTAACGTGGGGACAAGGACACATATGTAATATCTTAATCAATAAAAAATATATTAAAAAAAAAAAAAAAGTTCTTGTGCCACACTGGTTGAAATCGCTGCCCTGAGCCATCCCTAAACCATATGTCATGCCTTATACCTGCTCCAAACCAATTGCCATCTCAAAGCCTCTCCCATGTTGAAATTCTGGAATTATCCTTAGGACAACTGAGTATGAGGTTAATTAAACCGATATATGTGAAGGAAGCCTAGAATAATTATACCTTTTAAGCAGTTCCCCCTCCCATATCCTCACACTCTTAACGGTCTCAGTTGTACTTAGATATTATTAAACGCATCTCTCTCAATGATTGGTTTTCCCAAGTGAGGAATGAAATGCAATGAAAGGAGACCTGATTCTCCTAAAATATGTAAAGTACCCAGGCAGGCATTGCATTTCCTCATCATAAACCTCCCTAAGAGCCTCTCATAAAGGAATTCTGAGATTTATTTTTTCAGAACCTTGATTATGGGGTGTGGACACCAGAGCCTGCAATAGAAAACAAATTAGGTTCCTTTAAACATCAAGGTCCAAAAACAAAGAAGCAGCTTTTACCAAATTATCTACACAATTCCCACCTCGAAAGGGTCCTTGATGCCCAAGCTAGAGTGATGGTCTGTGCCAGTTTGCCAGGGACTATACCACTTTTAACAATGGAAGTCCTTTCTCCCAGGAAAGCACCCAGTCCCAGGCAAACTTGGGACTCTTGGTCCGCCATAGCTAAAGCCAAGAAGGTGAAATAAAAGCCAGCATGTATGGATTCAGAGTTCCTGTCTGTTAGGTAGACACAACTATAGATATAAATACTGATCACTGGCCCCTGCATCTCAGGTGCCTTGCAGGGAAAGACCACATTATTTTGTAATTCACACAACTCTGAAATTGAGGCAGGGAGGGTTACACTTCAACTTTACAAAGGGGAACACAGCATTTCTTGGACCCTAGGCTTTTATAAGAGAAAATAAAAAAATTTTAAATGAGAAATTTCAGGAATTCAAGTCACTGAACTAGGCTGCCCACCTCTTTCTTCCTGTTTGATCTTTGAAGATTAGCATTCAGTATTTTTCCTGACATTTATATTGAGGAAGGAGTATAAGATTATTAAAAGCAGAGAAACTCAATATGGGAATGCACATCAAAAGGTCTTCAAGACAAAGGAGGGATCATATGATTTGAAACCAGAGTTACTAGAAGCATGTGTGCTGCACTTCATTTTCTAGTTAACAGCGTAACATACGTCAAAATATGATTTAAAACACGTCTCACAGCTGAGCTAGCATTTGGCGATCCTCAGCCTTCTTTTGCTCTTGAGGACGGGGGTTCAAATCCAAACAAGGTTAACACTTTGTACTGGTACGTATTCCTGGTGGATGAGGAAAACAGTCTTAGAGTTTAAGTAAAATGAAAACATCTGTTCAAGTCCTGAGGGAAAGGATTGTTTTTAAAAAAGAGGGGGGAGGGGGATGCTTGGTTGTTAGAGCTGGAGATGGCCTCAGTAACTTTACCAGTGTTAAAGCATTAACTTTCAGTTGCCTTGCTCATCTAGGATGATGAAAATGTGTACGTGAGCTTAGATCAGACTTCATTTTTCAGGATGCCATACCTATCTTGTCCCCTATCCCTGTCTAAAGCCATATGATAATGTCTACTAACTGGATTCACATGCTTTTCATACTAAATCAGTGAGTGACTGACCTTTTGCCACATGCTTTGTCTTGGGCAGTAGCTGCTCACTCTAGGCAGAAATTCTATTAGTTAGCTGTTGCTAACTCTCAAAATGCCACAAACGTACTCTTTCAAAACAATACAGGTCCAGCGTGACTGAGTTTTCTGCTCAGGCCTCAGTAGGTGCTGGCTAGGTTGTGTTCTGATCTGGAGTTCAGGTGCTCTTCCAAGTTCTTATGGTTGTGATAGAATTCAGTCGCTTATTGTTATAACACTGAGGCCCTGATTCCCTTGCTGGCTGTCGGCCAGCCGCCCCTCTCACCTCCAAGAGACTACCCACCCTCCTGGCCACATGGCCCCTTTCATTTGCAAAGGGAGCAACAGAGCATCTCCCTCACATGGAATCCTTTTCACACGTTGAATTACCGACTTCGGGAAGAGCCTAGTCTCATTTAAGGCTCACCTGATTAGGTCAGGCTCACCCAAAACCCCTCATATTCACAGTCCTGAAGATTATGCAGGGGCTGGAGATCTTGGAGATCATCTTAGAATTCTGCCTACCATAAAAAATGCAATGCAACCTTCCTCCTTTCAATCCTCTAGGCCTGTTGTTAGGGGGAAAGATGGTGAGGAAAAGCCCCAAAAGGCATCTAGTAGGATTTAAATTAATCTATTCTTCACTTGAAGTTACTAAAGTAACAAAAGTTAATATCAAAATATTTAGTAGTTGATATTTTTGAGCCACATACAGAGTGCTATAAATATATTAATAAATTACAGAAGTTAGATGGATTTGTTAATACATTTATAATCTAAAAGACAAAACATAATGCACACTTAGTTGGGCCTTTATTATGTGCCAAGCATTATTTTATACAGCAGTGGTCCAGCTTTCTTGGGCTTATACTAGTATTTTAGTTGACAGGGGACTCAGAAAATTAGCAGGTAGAAATGCAGGCAAAAATAAATACACCAAAAATAATTTTCTTAAAAAAGCAACAGATGCACAAAGAAAACTATTGAGAGTAGCAACACCTTATTAAAGAAGGCTAGATAGTTCCAAATCAAGGTCTTTGTGAGGCAGGATTGCCTAGTGGTTAAAAGCAGGGTCTCTGGAGCTACATGTCCTGGAGTCTGCATCCTGGCTCTAAGGCAAATTATGTGGCATCTCTGTGCCTCAGTTTCCCTTACTGTAAAAATTAGGATTGAGAATCCAATTAATGTCTGTTAAACATTTAGAACAGTGTGCCCAGCACGTGGTAAGTGCCGCTGTGGACTATCACTTACTCTCGGCAATGACTGAGTGCTTGGCAGCCATTATTTTTTTAATCCTCATAATAATCTTGAGAGATAGTCATGTTAATAGATGAGAAAACATAAGTACAGGAGGCTAAGTAACTCCTTCAGGGCTATGTAGGCTACGAAAACATAGATATGCTGGGATACAACCCAAAACTTCGGCAAGAAATGGGAATCTGGGAAATTATTAGTAGTGCTCTATTCCTGGAGCATTCTTCCAGGGCAACTGTAGGATTCGATGATATAATGATGATATAATATATGCTAACGGATTTCAAATGGTAACTTGCCATATGTTAAGATACTGTTATGCATACACCTGTACCTACTGGTCACTTATTACCTGATAGTCTCTGATAGTCAAAGAACGAGAAAGAATCAATTTAGAGAGGGATTTGAGTGAGGGCTTCTACACGCTGAACCTCAGGACTTCACCCCGACCCTATACACTAGTGAGGTAGGTAGAGTCCACCTTGGTGAACTGAGTGAGGCGGGGGCGGGGGCGGGGCCTTGACGATGAATTTCATTGGCCTTTCAAAGTGAAACGATTGGATGGTTGGCTCCGGAGGGTTCTAGAGGTCTGCGCCCTGTCGCTGATTGGATGAGAGGCGGTCAGCTCCCACCTCCTCCATACTTTTCATAAGGGGCCTGTTGCTTGGCAACCGATTTGCGTCTACCGCTGTAAGCTTTTGCCTCCCACGTCCACCTCACGCACCAACAACCCGGGGTCGTCCCTGGTGCTAGTCCAAGTTTGCCGGGAGACTGGGCGGTGCGCTGGCGCTGCAGTGACGCACGAACGTGCCCAAGTTTCCCCTCTGGAAGTCTTCCTTTGGAGGAGTCAGAGGAGAAGAGAGGGTCGCTATTATATGCCCAATTTAGAAGCCATTTATCTTGGGCGCACAAGGCGTTCTGCAACTCTAGAAAGCAAGTAACTTAGGTCAGTTAACCAGGTGTGGGAGGGTGACTCGTAACCTCACACACCTGCCTCAGAGCAACGCCTGGGAGTGTGGAGCCAAGTGCCAGACTCTTTGCTGCCTTATCATGAGCAGCAGAAGTTACTTCTTGCTGCAAAAAGACTTGAGAGACTTGGAAGAGAACGAGTATAAGGTGAGTACTGGGGACCCAGAGGGATGGGTTTCACTGGGGCAGAACTTTTATAAAGCAGCTTAATCTGCGTTTATTCTATAAGGAATAATTAAGTTCAACCTAATTTATCACTACAGTACTGTTGTTTAACAAATCTATTTTACTATAACAGTCCATTTTATAATAATAGTTATTTCATAATGATAATAGCTAACAATATTGAGCACATGGTGCTGAATAATGTGTGTAGACTTAAGCCCTGAACATCAGGGTCTATCATGTTGTAAGTGACTAACAGGTAAAAGGTTGCTGTCATTAATTACAATACTGTAAGTAGTGTTTTGTTTTACCTATCAGAAACCTAAACCTCAAAAAGGTTCAGTAAATATTTAGCGTCAGAATTGCTCTTATTTGTTTTGTTTTGTTTTGTTTATTGATTGTAGAGAGGAAAAAACACGGATGTTTTCACTTATTTATGAATTCATTGGTTGATGCTTTTAAAAAATGTTTGTTTATTTATTGATTTCAGAGGAAGGGGGAGAGAGAGAGAAAGAGAGAGAGAGAGAGAGAGACTGATTTGTTCTTCTATTGATTTATACATTCATTGGTAAATTTTTATGTGTCCTAACAGGAGATCAAGCCCGCAACCTTGGCATATCTGGCTGATGCTCTGACCAGCTGAGCAATCTCTTGCTCAGGGTCTTGTGTTCTACTACTTGTGTATGGTGCACTTTTTGCTAACTTGTCACAACACGTAGATGCCCTTCCCTTATAATTTTAACACAGAGGAAGGCTTTCCTCCAAATGACACCAATGAAGTTATTTTCATATTGTTTCTGCTCTACCTGAACTTTGTGGTTCTCTGTTGAAAGGACAATTCCATGAAGGAGAAATGATATGTAATTATAGATAATGTAGATAATAGAGAGATCTTACAATGTTTATTCAGACTAGCACCAAACATAGTGAATAACTATGTGGTTGCTCAGAAGTATTTATTGAGTAAATTTAGGTGTATTTCCCAGCATCATTGATAAGGTTTTTTCTGAAATACAGGGTGGGTCAAAAGTAGGTTTACAGCCCTAACCAGTTTTGCTCAGTGGATAGGGCATCGGCCTGCGGACTGAAAGGTCCCAGGTTCGATTCCGGTCAAGGGCATGTACCTTGGTTGCGGGCACATCCCCAGTAGGAGTTGTGCAGGAGGCAGCTGGTCAATGTTTCTCTCTCATCGATGTTTCTAACTCTCCATCCCTCTCCCTTCTTCTCTGCAAAAAAATCAATAATATATATATATGAAAATATGTATATATATATTAAAGTAGGTTTACAGTGTGAGTACTGGGAACACAGTTTGTTCTTGTAGTATTATATTTTAATTATTGTATTACTTTCCATGAAAGCAACTGTACACCTACTTTTGCCTACTCTGTACATTCTTGTCCCTCTTTTGGAACAATATCTCAACTGTAGGGGAATTTATTTTTATATGCAAGCATAATTTTGGAGTTGTGTTTTTCTTAATGAAAATGTTCTGATTCATGCCTTCCATGTAGCATTTATACAGTTTTTAAAAGCTCTGAAGAGATGCATGCTTTCCAATGAATTCCTTCTCTTCTAATTTGAATCTTAAATTGGCTATTGAAGTACATAAGCCACACATCCGAATCTTGACTCTCTCGTTCCACTTGTGATTTCCACACTTAGGATTTATTTAAAATTTACTATTTTTAAAATATATATTTTATGGATTTTAAAGAGAAAGGAAGAGAAAGATAGAACCATCAATGATGAGAGAGAATCATTGATCAGCTGCCTCCTGCATGCCCTTCTCTGGGGACTGAGCCCACAACCTGGGCATGTGCCCTGAATGGGAATAAACCCATGATCTCCTGGTTCAGAGGTCAACTCTCAACCACTGAGCCATACCAGCCTGGCTTGAATTTATGATTGTGTGGAACCCACCTTAACAGCTATGTAATAACACAAAATATCACATCTCCATAAATCAGCATATAAATAAATTCATCAGGAAAAGAAAATGTAGAGTTTTTAGAATTATTGTAACCTGATAACTGCTTTTCAAAGTTGCAATAAATATTTAATTTTTTTAAAAAATAGTAAAATTTTTACTGCTTTGATTTCTTTTTTAAATTAAAGGGTATTACTGCCTTTCCTGTAAGTGAAGACAAGTTGAAATGGGAAGCTAGTATTGAAGGTCTGAAGGATACAATTTGGCATGGTATGTATTCTCAAAACCAATCGACTTTTTAAAAAGTCTTTATGCCATTATTAGTCTATCTTCTTTATGTGCAAAAGAAGGTTGCATTATATAAATTTTCTAGAGTTCTGAAAGTATTCACGTGTTATTTTTTCATTGTATGGCTTAATTTTTGACATTTGTCAACCTAAATAGAAATGTTAGTTTTGAATTTTTCTTTATGCCAAATCTTAATGTTATTACATTGTTTAAGAAGCTGACACAATAAAGCATAACAGTTGAAAATATCTTCTAACAGTCTTCCATGAAATCAGAAAATAGTATCAAAATTCCTTTTGGCATCAAAATTCCACATTATCTCTCATTTTTATTTTCTATGATTCTTCCCAAAATTTCCACATATCAAATTCTCAAGAAGACCAGGCCACTGTAAACTTTAATAATCATGCATTCTATCAATAGTGGATTAATGAGCTAGATTTGCTGAGTGAGGTAGGGGAGAACAACACGTAAAGTGGTTAATTACAATAAAATATAACATATGCTATTAGGATTTCGAACAGAATGTCAAGGAGGCATTCATTAGTTAATTTTGCTTGGAGAGTCAAGAAATGGCTTTCTGCCCTGGCCAGTCTTCTCAGTGGTTAGAGCATCGGCCCATGGACCAAAGGTTCTTCAGTTCAATTTCTAGTCAAGGGCACGCATCTTGGTTGCAGATTCAATCCCCGGCCCTAGTCATGGTGCAAGAGGAGGAAACCAATTGATGCGTCTCTCTCACATCCATTTCTCTCTCTCTTTCTCCCCCCCCCCCCCTCGCTTTTCCACTGTATAAAAATCAATGGAAAACATATCCTCACTCCAAGGGTAAGGGTTCCATCCCCAGTCAAAGCATATGCTGAAGATAACTGATTGATGTTTCTCTTTCACATCAGTGTTTCTCTCTCGCTCATACTCTCCCTCTCGCTCCCACTCTCCCTTCCTCCCTCTAAAATTAATTTAAAAAAGAAGAATGCATAAGAGTTTGCCAGGTTTAGAAGGGGTCGGGGGGAAGGAAATTCAGGCAGAATAAGCAGCATGGCAAAGAGAAAGTGCACCAGGTTCTGAAACAGTGAGTTTAGTCAATATGAATGGGACAAGTGTTAGGGGGACGGAGTTAGTGGATGGAAAACAGGCTGACAAAATAGTGGGATTAGATTTGAGGAGTCTATTATACTATTTAGAGGGGTCTATGCACACTATGTTCCAATTTACTCAAGAATAAAACTCTAGGGATTGGGAGGCTAAACTATAATAAGAAACTTTAGTGTTAATCAGGTTAGAGTTAACGAGTACAACATGACAGCTTAGTAAAAATATTTATTGTTATATTATAGGACTATACTTCCCGCTGACAATAAATTTTACAGCAGAATATAATCTCGTCCCTCCAGTTGTGAAATTTAAAATCATTCCTTTTCATCCAAATGGTAAGGACCAAATGAGATTTTTATCATCAGGAGCTCTATTATCTTTGTTCTGTATTAGTATTTAATAATGTTTCTTTTTAATGTAATAACAACTATGTTATGATTACAAAATTAAGCATTTTTATTGGGGAAAACATAAAAAGAAAAAATTATCACTTTGAATCCTAATTCAAAGAGATATTACTCTCAACATTTCATTAAATCTATTTACTTTTCTCTATATATGTATTTTTTCACATAGTTAAGGTATTAGATATAAAGTTTTGCAACTAGTTTTTTTCCATTTAATATTACATAAGCTTATGGCTGCATTATTAAACATTCTTCAAAAGATCATTTTTAATGACTACATTGTTCAGTATTTTAGTTGGATTAATTTTTGTTATAAAATATGATACACTGACAAATTAACATTTTAGATAAAATTACATTAGATAGCTACTTTAAGTCATATACAAAGTGTATTTCTGATTGATTAAAAAACTAAAAATTTTAAATACTACAAAGAAGGGAATTTAATATAATTTTTTATGTGCTTGGTGAAGAAGGCCTTTCTAAATGTGATAAAACTGAAAAGCATGGAGGAAGCATGACACATTAAACTACATAAACTTTTTTAAATATATTTTTTTTAAATATATTTTATTGATTTTTTACAGAGAGGAAGGGAGAGAGATAGAGAGTTAGAAACATCGATGAGAGAGAAACATCAATCAGCTGCCTCCTGCACACCTCCCACCGGGGATGTGCCCGCAACCCAGGTACATGCCCCTGACCGGAATCGAACCCGGGACCCTTCAGTCCCCAGGCCGACGCTCTATCCACTGAGCCAAACCGGTTTCGGCTATAAACTTTTTAAACTACAGATAATGACATTATAAACAGAGACAAAATACATTGATTTGCAAACTGAGGGAAAATATTTGCAACACATAAAACAGAATATCTGTAACATATAAAGAATACATGTAAATCAATAAAAAACATAAAGCAATAGGAAAATGGACAAAAACTATAAACAAACATTTGGTAGAGGAAATACAACAAAAAAATGTAAAAATATGTTCAATCTCGCTAATAAGAAAATGCATGTTAAACTGCATATAAATGCATAAAATTGTGATTCATTGTTTATGTTTATAGACTATTAAAATAGCAATTTTAATAAAGTTGGACAAATATGGGTCCTCTGACATGATGCCCTTCAGGTGTCCTTTTGGGGAATCAATTTGACAGTTTCTAATCAAATATAAAATGCAAATAGCCCTAAATCCTGTAATACTATGTTTACAAATTATGCCATAGAAATACTAGCACAAGTGTGCAAGAGAATGTTTAAAAAGGTGCTTGCTCCCAATAATAATAGAGAAATAGGAATGATTCCAATATCCATTAATATAGAACATTTTTTAAAGTGAAGTGTTCTAAAGCTCTCCATATATTGCTCTTAAACAGGACAAGGAAGGTCTACTCTGTGGAATGGGAGGTGAGGACAAGGACATATAAGAACACCTCTTCCCATGGTCTTTAATCCAGTAATTCCATTTCTTTCAGCGTTTATTTTAAGCAAATAATGGCAAATGTACACAACTAATTCTGTATCATAAATTTAATTTTATTCTTTAAAAATAGGTTTTAATTTCAAAATCAATAATGTAGTTGGAAAAATTACATTAAAGTATAAAGTAAATTTAGGAGCAAGACAAGGATGCCCATTCTCACTACTTTTATCCAACACTAGAGGCCCAGTGCATGAAATTTGTGCACGGTGGGGGTGGGGGTCCCTCAGCCCGGCCTGCACCCTCTCCAGTCTGGGACCCCTGCCTACCTGATCACCCCTAACCACCTCTGCCTGCCAGCCTGATCCTCCTAACTGCTCTACCCTGCCAGCCTGATCACCCCTAACCACCTCTGCCTTGGCCCCCACCACGGCTTTGTCCAGAAGGACGTCCGGAAGGATGTCCAGAAGATGCCTGGCCTAATTAGCATATTACCCTTTTATTAGTATAGATAGTATTAAAAGTTTTAGCCAAAGCAATTAGGTGAGAGAAAGAAATAAAAGGCATCCAAACTGGAAAGGAAGAAGTAAAACTGTCATTTGCACATGGCCTGATATTGTATATATATATTTTTTAAAAAAACATTAATAAAGGCCCCCCCTCAGAAACTGTTGGAACTAATAAACAAATTTGATAAAGCTGCAGCATATACAAAATTAATACACAAGAATCTGTTGCATTTTTATGCATTAGTAAAGAAGAGGAGGAAATATGGGAAAACTTGTGATTGCTCTTCTTTCTCTCCCTTACCCCTCCCAGGAGGAGGAATGACTTACCTAATTGGGGAGAACTGAGAAAGAATTGAGCATGTGTGGCTCAGCACTTTCTCAAAACTTTCCTTCTAATAAGCCGGACCTTAGAATGGGTACCGTCTCTGTATCTTCAGGCAGGAAACCTAGGCAGGCCTCCATTTGAGGGGTTAAGTTCAAATCAGGGAGACTTTTGTGGAACTTGATTAAAGCATTGATCAGCAGTCTCCATTTCAGTCTTACGTATCGTGAAGTTGATACTTTTCACTTGCATCTTTTAACACTCTATTTATTACATACACACCTTGGAGGGGATGAATGTTATTAGCCCCATACACCAAAAACTGTATGCTCAGTTCTAAGTCTTTAGATACATACAACCTAATTGCCTTTCACTGATGTTATTTGTAATCCCACCAGGAAGCACATATAAAGTTCATATTTTACTGCTCTCCAATTCTGGACATTGTAACTTTGGAGAAGTATTTTTTTTTAAATATATTTTATTGATTTTTTACAGAGAGGAAGGGAGAGAGATAGAGAGTTAGAAACATCGATGAGAGAGAAACATCGATCAGCTGCCTCCTGCACATCTCCTACTGGGGATATGCCCGCAACCCAGGTACATGCCCTTGACCGGAATCGAACCTGGGACCCTTCAGTCCGCAGGCCGACGCTCTATCCACTGAGCCAAACCGGTTTCGGCAGGAGAAATATTTTTTGACAATTTAATAAGAATCTGTTATTTTAATATGCGCTTTTTAAATATGTGTGAGTTTAACATTTTTTCATATCTCTTTTTTTTCATATCTCTTTATTGTGTTTTTGATTTCTTGAATTGTCTGGATTATTTAAAATGTTATCACATTGTTGTAGGTGTTGCAAATATTTTTCTTCATTTGTCATTTTTAAATTTTATTGGTGCTTGGGGTTTTTTTACATTTGGGATTTTTTAAATTTTATATAGTCATATTTATTAGTCTTGTCCTTTGAGATTCTTACAGTTATTTTTAAGTTTAGAAGTTCTTTCCAAAACACAATCAAATTATTTTAACTTTCTTCTGGTTATTCTATAGTTTCGTTTTGCATATTTAACTCTATTCTTTGTTTTTAAAAAAATACAGGTTGACTTAATTAACTGTATTAGTGCAGAGGCCAAGCTTCCACATAACTTTCCAATCTACACATAATAGGACAAAGTTGGCAGGGAAGTTTTGCCATCCTCAATCTATGACTTCTGTTTCTGGATCTAAAGCATTTACTGTTTAACACCAATGTCCAGCCATTGGGGAAGGGGTAAAGAGAAAGTAAAGCAATTTCCTTAAGAAAATATGATCCAAAAGTTATATACTTTACTTCTGTTGATATCCCATGATTAAAACTTAGTCAAAAGGCTTCTTGCTAGAGGGGAGGCAGGAGAAAATAGTCTGAGCAACCATGTATTCATCTAAACAGAGTAGGGTAATGGGTGTTGGGGCATGTCTAGTCTTATTACAGAGAGGAAATGGAAGAGAGGAAGAGTAGATATTGAAGGATGATGAGTATTTTTCAGCAACACATTTTATACCATTTTTTCACCTTTTCTTTCACCACTGAATCATATTTTCACTTTTTAAAAACTATTTTTTTATTGATATTTTTTATAGAAAGGAAGGGAGAGGGGGAGGGATAGAGAGTTAGAAACATAGATGAGAGAGAAACATTGACTCAGCTGCCTCCTGCACACTCCCTACTGGGGATGTGCCCGCAACCAAGGTACATGCCTTTGACCGGAATCAAACCTGGGACCTTTCAGTCCTCAGGCCGATGATGCTCTATCCACTGAGGCAAACCGGTTAGAGCCATAATTTCACTTTTAACATACAATAGTTTTAAAGCCCAACCAACTGAGCCACACTGGCCAGGGCTGAAAGTCCATGCTTTTAATAGTTACACTGTGTTAACTGGCATATTCATTGCACATAATTTTTCTGCTTTGTCATTTGCTTTCTAACTGCTTGTCAGATTTTGGTGTTCGTAAACTTTAGATAATAATTTTATTATATACATATTACTATTAATGTATTATTTTAATACAGTAGACCAACATACTGGTCGACCCTGTATAGATTTTTTGGACAACCCTCGTAAGTGGAAAACAAGCTATACATTGAGCAGCATCTTACTCACCCTCCAGGTAAGAAGAGATTAATATACATGCCCTCTTTAATTCTTTTAATTATCTCAGTTATTCAAAATATAAAAAATAAAACATATAAAGCATATTTAAATGTTTGAAAGACTCAAGTAAGCTTGTTTAAATCAATAATATTTCTATATCAAGACTATAAAAATGGAACTTGAATTATAAAGACTATTATTTTAAATTGACAACCAAAGAATACCTACTTTATACAAGAAGAAAAGAACTGTTTGGATGGTTTTAATTCTGGAAATATAGTCTTAAGTTTTCTTTTGGTTCCTAATTTCACTTCATAGTGTTGAACAGGCCTTTAGATCCTTTCTCATTCACGAACCTGCCTTCTTCAGAGAAGTGAATCAAGTGACTACAACTTCAAGTGCTCAGTTTTATCTTACGTTTCTGACAGTGCTAGGCATTTGCTCTTTTATAGGCTTTCTTTTTTTAAAATCATTTCTTATTGTTCAATTACAGTTGGCATACAATATTATATTAGTTTCAGGTGTACATACACCCCAGGGATTAGACATTATATAACTTACCAAGTGATCATCCTGATAAATCTATTAGCCCTCTGACACCATACGTAGCTACTAGAATATTATTGACTGTATTCCCTATGCTGTACTTTACATCCCCATGACTATGCTGTAACAACAAATTTGTATTTCTTAATCCCTTCATCTTTTCCACCCATCCCCCCAACCCTCCCCCCCCCCCCCACCCATCTGGCAACCACCAAAATGTTCTCTATATCTATGAGTCTGTTTCTGTTTGGCTTGTTCATCCAGTGAGCAATTAAACCAGGGATTTTCCCCTCCCCTCCGGCAGATGCCTGTTTCTAGCCTGCTCCCTTTACTTCTTGGATCCGTGGTCCTTAGCAATATGCCTTGGTGTGGTGTTTTTCTTGACCCTCAGGGAGCCTCCTTTCTCATCCATGCCCAAGTGAATGACTTCAGTGTCACTTGCTTAGACTACTTCTGTCCAGCTCATCATTAATATCTGGAGTTTGATTATCTGAAATACTTGGAGAATAAAGTATTATGGCTTAATTGAATTTTCTCAGTGGTAGAATTATAATAAAAATTTTATTTCTCCCATTTCTTATTTTCTAATTGAAATAAAATAGTTTTCTGTCTAGTCATCCTATATAATAATAGACAAACATGGTAATTAACCGTACCTCCGACATGCTTCCCATCGGCAAATCAGGGCAATATGCAAATTAACTGCCAACCAAGATGGCGGCCGGCAGCCAGGCAGCTGAAGCGAACAGGAGGCTTGCTTGCTCTAGTGATGGAGGAAGCCAAGGTTCCCCGCCTGCCACTGCCGGCCTTTGAGCTGCAACTCTAGCAACTAAGTTGCAATTATAGAAGCTAAACAAGCTCCAGAAACCTGCTTTCAGCCAGCCAGGCTTCAGCCAGCCAGGCTTCAGCCAGCAGGATCGCAACAGTGTTACAATTATAGAACCCAAACAAACCCAGATCCCTGCTTTCAGCAGCCGAGGACTCAGAGCTGGAGCTGAGCCTCAGAGCTAAAGCCGGCTCTCAGCTCCAGTGACAGCCATAGAAGGTAAATAAATCCCAGAATAAAATAAAAAAAAGAAAAAAAAGGAGAGGTTGGGAGCTTCAGTCACCCGCCAGCCTGAAAACGGCCCTCAGCCCCTCACCCAGACTGGCTAGGCACCCCAGTGGGGATTCCCACCCTGAAGGGGGTGTGACCAGCTGCAAACAGCCATCATTCCCTCATCCAGGCTGGCCAAGCACCCCAGTGGGGACCCCCACCCTGAAGCAACAAGATGGCGGCTAATTTGCATACTGAAGGTGGGCAGCAGTGGGCAAGGCTGTCTGCGGTCCGGGACCGGATCTGTGACCCTGCTGGGCGTTGGGCAGTGCTTGAGGCTGTCCGTGGTCTGGTACCCAGATCTGTGACCCTGCTGGGTGGGGGGCAGTGCTTGAGGCTGTCCACGGTCCAGACCCTGATCCATGACCTGGTGGGCGGGAGGCACCGTGGGAGGCTGTCCGTTGTCCCGAACCCGGATCTGTGACTCTGCCGGGCAGGGGGCAGTGCTTGAGGCTGTCCACGGTCTGGACCCGGATCCATGTCCTGGCGGGTGGGGGGCAGCACTTGAGGCTGTCCATGGTCCGGACCTGGATCCATGTCCTGGCGGGCAGGGGGCAGTGCTTGAGGCTGTCCACAGTCCCAGGACCCAGATCTGTGACCCTGCTGGGCAGGGGGCAGTGCTTGAGGCTGTCCACAGGATCAAGACACAGATCTGTGACCCTGCTGGGCAGGGGGCAGTGCTTGAGGCTGTCCACAGGATCAAGACACAGATCTGTGACCCTGCTGAGTGGGGGGCAGCACTTGAGGCTGTCCGCGGTCCCGGGACCCGGATCCGTGACCCTTCCCGGCGGGGCGGCAGCTCGCACAAGGGCAGATCGGCTGGAGTTGGGCAGGGCAGGACGCCTGGCTTCCGCCCAGCCCCAGTCACTCTGGGCAGGTGAGCAGTGCAGAGAGCCTCTCGACAGGGGAGGCAGGCCGGCGGAGGGAGGCCTGTACTCCCCACATGGTGGTGGTGACCGCTGTGAGCGCGACAAGTGGAGCTTGCAGGCTGAGTTGAAGTAGTGCCTGCAGGCCATCAGTGCCCAGGAGTGGCTGCGCAAGATCCACCTCCTGGCCCAGAAGGTGCAGGATCGCAGGGACAGCCACCGTGGCGGGCCAGACTGCTGTCCTCCTGGCTGCACCATGGGGATTTGCGAAGCTGCAAAGCCAGAGGCCTCCAGTGTGCACATCCCTCCCTGGCATGCGAACATCCCCCAGCACACTGTCATCCTCCCACACCTGCAACAGTTGCAAACCAAGGCGTGCACAAGTTCCCCCCGCCTCTCCACCGCACTTCCATCAACCCGGCATGCCTAACACCCCCACAGGATGTGCACACATCCCCTCTGATGCGCTCATGTCCTTTGGAGAGTGTCTGGGTGTTCTGGGTGCTGAGGGTGGGTGCCTGTGAGATGACAGTGAGAGGGCGGAGTGGTGATGTCCTGTTCCCATGGAGGCCAGTGCAGCTACGAGATCACCTCTGGGGGTTTAATGCAGGTGCTGAGGCAGGAGCAGGTGCAGACAGACACACCTGGTGGGCACGGGCGGCCCTCGCTGAGGTGCCTTCGGTCAGCGTTCAAGATCAAGAACCCAGAGGCAGAGAGGAATTTCCGCCCTCTCAGTGAAACAGTGGGATAGTCAGGGCGACTGTAGAGAAGGAATGTGCACTTTGGGTGCCAGCACCCATGAGCGAAGGCTGCCCTGATTGAGCCTCGCTTGCTTGGGGCCTAGTGCACTCCTGCCGGGCAGTGGGTGACAGGACGTGCTTTTCCGAATTAATGAGAGAAAACGTTGATTCTCCTGCTGCCCACGAAGGTGGAAAGTGAAGTGGGGAGATGTGGGAAGTGAGCGAGGTTCCCTGTCTGGGGGTTCCAAATCTGCTGTTGGTTTCTTTCACCACTGACTAGAGTTAAACAGGGTATCCCCCCAAAATGTATACACACACTGAATACCTACTAATTCCAATGGTTTTAAGCTTAAGAAAGAAACAACAATGGAGCTGTTATCTGTTAAAAGTGTGGGCACAAATAGGTAGTTGGACATTCCCTGAGGGGTCTTAGATTGGAGAGGGTGAAGGCCAGACTGAGGGGCCCTTCCCCCCACCCCCACCCCAGTGCATGAATTTCGTGCACCGGGCTACTAGTCTTTATATATCAAGTAAAATTTAATCTTTTTAAAGATACTATGTTTCATTCATTCATTCACCTATTCATTCATTTTTAGAAATGTATATTGAACATCCACGTATGCCAGCCATGTTCTGGGAGACATTTGAGCAAAAACTTTCAGGAAGTGAATGAGCATGATATGCAGATAACTGGGGTTGATCTTTTGAATTTTTTTAAAACTGGGTCATATTCCTATCTACCTCTTCACAGTAGGATCTGCCTTCAGAATAGAAAACTGAATGGTCTCGAAATGTAATGAGGGAGGGCAAACCAGAATGAAATGGTGAATATTCTGAATTACTGAGTAATTTAATACAAGGTAAATTTGGGGCTCCGAGATTAGATTGTTTTTGCCACATACTCATTTGTACCATTAGACAAGTTTCTTCACTTCCAAGTAATCTCAATCTCTTCCTTAGTGAAATGGATCTGTTAGTAGCTACCTCATAGATTTAATAAATTAACTAATACATGTAAAATACTTGGAACCACGTGTGGTCTAAGAAAATAGCTCAATAAAAGCTAGTTAATTTTATGATTGTCCTTACTTTCAAGCAGTAATGCAAAGTGACGACAAGTGTTGTCATGGAAATACATCATGGGAAGCCAGTAGATGACAAAGTTGTTTGTCTTTTTATTTTTCATACAGATTTATAAAACAGATATGCCTACACTGCAGAAGTTTTTAAGACAGTGGAAAGGAAAGGAAAATTACTGATAATCATAAAGAAAAACCCTAATCCTACTGTTATTACTAATTTCTTCTGATCTTTTCTCCTATTTTTCTGTTTAAAGTCTTTCATTTTCACATTCACTAAGGGTTAAGTCCAGTTCTGTTGCCTGACAAATGATTTACTTCTCCTCACACCTGGAATCTAATACACTGGGCCATCCCACTCATATTACATCTTCATGCCTTCCTTCACTCCCCGTGCTTGGTTCAATTCAGACTTAGAAGCATTTAGAGTTCTAAACTCTAAAGTTACAAACTTAAGCAAGTCTCGGACTTTTAAAAGTGCTTAGGCAAGTTCTCTAACTGACTGACAACCCATTTTCTCCTTTCCTCTTCCTCAGTCTGTCTGGCTAGCAAACTACTCACATTATAAAGTCAGATCAAATAAGTGCTCCTCCAGAATGTCTTTCTTGATCTCCTTTCCTCAGTGGAATTGATGGCTTTGGATTTTGAGGGACTTCCTTCGTCCCTTGCAAATTTCCATCAGAGCTCTG